TCTTTCTACGAGAGACTCGAGTCTCTCAATTTTTCAGTTTTATTCATTCAGTCTCTCTGTGAGAGACTCGAATCTCTGAATTAACAATTTTATCGTTCGAGTCTCTCATGCAGAGACTGTGAGAGATCTATAAAAACACCTAGGCAATAACTGAGAGACTGTGAAAGACTGTGAGAGACGCTCTCAGAGACGCTGAAAGACTCTGAAAGACTCTGTCTAGGGTACGTTAGCTTAATCTTTAATACAAGAATCCAAAATACAAGGCTATGTTGTGGTTGGAAAGTAATCTTTTAGTAATGTTAAAAATATGTTTACAAAAACGGACTATTTCTCAATATTTTTATCTGCATGTTAATTTTTTGAAAAATTGTTCAAACATTTAATAACTATTTTGCAACTTTTTTTTGATATCGGCAACAATGGTTTAGTTCAGAAGCCCTTTACGTTGGTCGCTGTGTTTCCCCTTTTGAATAATTGTGCGGGATTGGTTGCCGCGCGGTTGGCATCGCGACGCTCCTCCCTTACGACGCCCAGCGTCGTTCCTGTCTACAAGTTTCATTCCCTGTCTGAAAGTTGGTCCTTTGGGATCAGGGTTCTAGTTACAGATTTTCTTTCCCTAAGGACTGTAAAATAAAAAGAAAAACCTGAAGGCCTCTAGGTTACCATCGAGATAATTTTGTATTATTAATTAATCCTATTTATAACTAACAANTCCAGCAGCAAGTGAGCCAGGAAGTTCTATTAGGAACGACATCGAGGTTGCCGATGTTTCTTATCGTGTGAAGGGGAAAACCCCAGTTAGCGAAATCGATTGACGGTCCATGTCTTCCGTTTTTTAGGGAAGGTCATTAACAACTTGCAGTTTTCTGATAGATTTGTAGAAAATTGACTGGGTCAATGACTTAACTTAAATAATTAAATAGCTTAAAATACATGCTCCAAAAATTTTATTTGTGCTCATGCATAGAAAAATCTTGAAATGCACAACTCATTATTGCAGCAAATACAGGACATCAGTGTTATAATGAATCTGATTTCTTCGGTAGTATATGAATATTGCTCAACTTTTTTGTTTTCCAAATAAATTGCAATTTGCTATTTCCTGTTAACAGTTAAAAATTGACAATCAGTTTAACGTCTTTTTTTTTAACTTAATGTTCTCTTGTCCCAAACATTAACAATATATCATATGAACCAAAGCAGTATAAAAAAGCAGCGTTGACAGTTATATACCCGATCCATTAGGGCAATAATAATTCTTACGGCACTCCACAATAAATGGCTAATGACATTACATAGTTGAGCGGTCAATATTCACTGCTACCCCATCGTATATCAACACGTTCTACCGTCGAAAATCAACTTAAAAACGATGGATTACATTATTGTAATGTTATGCAAAAGCTACCACGTTTTATAGGCAGATTGCCACCAGATGGTCCATTTTTCTTCCCATTTAAGCATTAGCACCCCATCAGAAAATGCAATGGGCGAAAAATGTGTACCACGTATGCTGACAGGTATTGCCTATTGTGTATTTTTGGTTTCAGAGATGTAAATTATTCAAAATGTGCTACAATTTTGGATTTCAAAGAATTAATAAAATTTAGTCAAAGAAAAATTCGATTTTTCAGTTTTTATAATAAATTGTATAAGGTAAAAAAAGATTTTTAAAGCGACTTAAAAGGATCTTAATTACTTTTCATTAACAATTTTATTAATTATTCTAATTAATATTGTTTTTTCTTACATTACTGAGAATTACTTCCGAGAAATCTTTGCATTATGTTTACATTTTCTCTTTAATCTGGTGTATACTTAAGTAAAACGTTTTGGGGATGCT